CGGATAAACAGGAGTATTGTGTGTGTTGTGTGTGTGTGTGTGTGTGTGTGTGTGTGTGTGTGTGTGTGTGTGTGTGTGTGTGTGTGTAAAATATATTATATATACACACACACCCCTATACACGCGCGCACACACAGGCTTCCCCTTCTCTTCTTCCCCATCTTGAAATTTCAGCTTGCTCTTTACCTTCATTCTGGTACAGCAGATACTAAATTTTCTAGCCAGAGTTATCACAGGCCATCATGAATAACCTTATGGTCCACTCAAAGTAGTTTTCCTTTCTGAAGCTTAACAGAATTGATAAGTTTAGAAGGATACATTGCATTTGGCTTAACTTGCCAATAATTGTCTCTACAGATGATCACTCTCTTGAAGGAGCTGCAGGATCCAACAGACAGATTTTAGAAGGTATGACAAGAATAACCATAGTGGGTTGCTAGTTTAGATAATAGACCCGTTTAGATGCTGGCTATAAATTCAGTGGTGTTCTTTGTTAAGGTATTAATAATGAACAGAAAGTTGTGTTAAGTGTCTGGTTTATTTTCTTCAGAAATTCAATGTGAAAAGTTTATACAAGTTACCTAATTTCTGAATTTCAAGTGCCTATCTCCTATGGCAATACATGCTTTAGAAAGTAATGAAATAATAAGTAATATCATACTGGAACACATTTGAAAAGCTTTGACCAATGTCTCAGATTTTAAAGGGCTGAGGACTGTGGTACTTAACTTCACCTTTCAGGAAAGTGAGACTATGCTGAGTGAATAACCATCTTGTCTAATTAAAACAAAACCCCCAGTAACTTAGCTCAATCTGGACACCTGGATCAATTCTTTTCTTATAATGTAATATTGGGGATAGGGATTGGGGCTGGTAGAGAACATCTCTATACCCATATCCCCATGGGCATCTTGCAGTCTTAGCATCTGTGCAGGAAGGTGTTGTGTTCCTCCGTCTCCAAATAAATGGAAGGGTGAGGGGGGAAATTAGATGCCGCTGATTGCATGTGGGCAGCTTAAACAAGAATAATAAGAGAAATAATTACTTTAAAATTGGTTATTTAATCACCATTGGCCTGACCAACCCCACTGAAGCCAGCATGTGACATATAACTTTATTTCCTTGCGTTGTACTTGACATAAAGCAATGTATACTTGTGGTGTCTCTTATCGGATACTTTTGTGGCTCAGGGTTATCCTATAGTTGTCCAATATATCACGTGCACGACAATAGTTTTATCTGATCTCTTGCACCATACGTATTACTTTAAATTTCTCTCTCCCCCCACAGGCACATTAAAGTGTTTGTGAATGGCTGTCTTTCAGAAGCAAATGTATAACAAGATTTTAAAAACAATTCTTTAAGGCAAATTTCTGGCCTCCTGGTCTTAACATAGGATATTAATTAGTAGAATAAAATGTGAGTTTAACAAGACTGATTATTCAAGGTTTTCTTACCTGTTTTATCTTAATGAATAAAACTTAGTGATACTGGATGATTATTTAAAATATTTTACATACCTCGGAAGCCATCTTCCTGCTTGTTATGCAAACAGTGCATTGTGAAATGAACACTAATGCAATTATCTTACCTTTCTTATTTTGGCAGAAAAATTTTAATTGAAACTCCCAGTAAAGATATTGAAGTTGCTGTGTGTTTTGTGTTTATTTCCTTATGCAAACAATTTAAAAACTAGCTTGAGTTAATTTTAATTCTGCTGAAAATGTTTTTCTTAATCAAATACAAATATTTTTATTTTTTTAATCTGGCTAGATATTTATGGGTTTGTGGGTGAAATACTTCAAGCTGTGAACAATTACTTATTTTAACAGCAGTTGATGATCTGTGACTGTACCAATAATTGCCAGCAGAGAGCTCCACAGGCTTATCTTTGGTTAGCTACAAAGAGTTGGCTCTCACTGTTTTAATCTAAAGCTATATTTTCCCACATAAAATCATAACTTATTAATGCAAGAAATCTTTTTAATTTGTATTGACAGTGAATATGTAACTTGTAAAATACAAATATCTCGCAGAGCTCCTGCTGGCAAAACTTTTTTTTTATCTCTTCTAGTAGAAATGTTGCTTATGGACCACCGGAGGTAAAGATTTGACTCATCTGCTGTATTATGGCCTAGCCATTGGATGAAGGACTTGTAACTGGTTAAATCTATTCTGACATTTAGTCACCAGTTCAGTTGATGGTGGTAGTCAAGAATATTCCATAGCATGGCCACATTTAAAAAGAGTTTCTCTGAATGCCTTAGCAACTCTTCAAGATATAGGTCCTAATCCTGTGCTGACTTACAGGAAGCCCTTTAAATCAACACCAAATTTGCTAGCACAGTTCATTTTGTTGTCTGATTTTAAGAGTTCTCATCAAAATGTTTCCACCAACTTTTTTAAGGGCCTTTCATTTTTAAGTGTTTGATTATTTTTTTTAATGCTCTTTTGTAGGTGTATTTTTACACATTGTCGCAGACACTCTTGGAAGTGTTGGTGTAATCATATCAGCTATACTGATGCAGAACTATGGTCTAATGATAGCAGATCCTATCTGTTCAATGCTCATAGCTCTACTTATAGGAATAAGGTAAGTGTTGATACAAATGACTAAATAGTAAAACATTCAGTGACCTGTGTTATGTTGTTTGTAATCACAAGCCTAAAAACAGGGGTAGGTCTGTTTTAAAAACAAAATTACAATGTTGATTCTTGACAGTGTTGACTCTTTTGCTCTAAAAATAAACAGTTTCCTCTCTTTGCTGTTTCTTTCCATTCTTTGTACCTGTTCTGTTTTTTCTTGCTTGAATCATCTTGATCTTTTTCAGCAATCGCCATCTGCATATCTTTGTTTTATTGTCCTAGCACTACAAATATTTTGTTCTGATCCATGTTGTAAAACACTTCTCTCCATTTGTGTAGTACACGCTAATATAAGCTGATGTACTGTACTAGTAAATGGAGCAGAATAGCTCAGTGTAGTGGGGTCCAGCTTGCTGGTACAAGATGTGACCTGATCCTTGCTGAATTAAACTTCCACACTCATCAGAGAACGTTGCTTGAGCCTTTGTATTTATATTCTGAGGCTTTGTGGATACGCTTTTAAATAGCACATGCTGGGTTATTTAAAAAGTGGTTCTCATGTTGAGGCATGCAGTAGTAGAAGATGGTGAAGTGCCATATATTTCCCCATTATTGCTGTTTACTGAAATTATTGTAAATAGAAGTTCATTGAAACCAATTTTCAGTGACGCTCTTCTGGTAATTTCTTCAATGATGGTAGAGGGTAGAGTATTTCCGCTTCAGACAACTACTGTAACAGCATTGCTACTGTTTAACAGGCAGGTATTATCCAGTAGTTGAATGGCTGCAGCTGTACTTGGGTACTATTACCATATATGGTAATACATGGCAGTATTTGGAGGCAGTCTGATGTGACTCTCCTTTGCTATCTTCTAGAATTATGGATAGTATGTTTTAAGCATTAACTCTTCAGGGATGCCTAGAACAATTTATTATAATACATTTTAATAAACTGTTATATTTTGACTGCATTTATTAATACCCGTGCAATACACAGGCATTATAACAGTATACTTACTATTTTCTCCTTTTATCAACACTAGCTAAATTATTTGATATGTTTAACTAAGTAATTGTACAAATGAAACTGCTAAAATATAATATAACTAAGAAAATTCAAGGTGACCAATAGAAAAAAGATACAGCTAAAGTGGTAGTAGCTTAGTGGAATGCTGTGATTTTTATAGATTAGTATTCTGTGTTTTTAGGGTCCAATCCTGTGGAGACTAATGCATGGGCGTAACTTTTGTGCAAGGTGCTAAGCAAAGCAAAAAACACCATTTAAGTGGAGTGGGAATGAGGGGACAATAAATAACATTGTTTGGACATTGGAAGATGTTTGCTGCTATTTTAGTAGAGGTTATATCACTTTATGTTGTGGACATAGGAATAGCGTATCATATTTAGATAAGAGAATTTCCAGACTGTTGTAGCATGTGATGAAAGGGCTAGAGATCTGTTCAAGGTGACATAATGCTTAGACATTAAAAAATGGAGCAGTTGGCAGGGTTATGTTGGTCTTCATCAGAGGCTCCTTTAAATATTACTTTGCTTGCCCAGGATACTGCGTAAATTCTCCCAGGATCATTCTGGGGTCTTTGCACTGCCCAGGTTGGGCATGTCCTTGGTAAAAAACAGCTTGTGTTTCAGTCTTAGCCTGCCTAGCCTGCCGCAGCAGGGGCAGATTAAATGTCTTTTCATATAATGATAAATCCGAAGTTGGAAACAGAGCCGCTGGTGCTTTTGCTGGGGACCCGGTCAGTGATGTTCTTTTCCTGAATTAATCTGTGAGGCCATTCGCTTCTCCTCAAGACTCACTTCTGCAATCATGACTACAAGAAAGCAGCCATTCAATGATAGCTAAGTTGTGTGAAGTAAAGAATAATGGATCTGATTTATTTTTTTTTATGTGAGAAAGGTCAGCTTTACTTTCTCCCTTCTATGTAACTGCATAATCTTTTTGTTTCATTTTGTTTCACACGTTTGCATCTGGTTTCAAATGACTTTAAGCTCTTTTGGGGCAGGGACCATGTCTAAGGTTAAGATTTCATGACTTTTACTAAAAGGTCACAGGCAATAAACAAAAATTCACAGGAGCCCATGACTTTTACTAAAAATAACCAGGAGACTGGGTTAGATAGGGCAGAAGTAATGACAGCTGGAGTCCCATGGTGTGTGTATGTGGGAAGGGACATGCTGAGCCGCTGCCATGTGGGGGTGCTCCAGAGCTGGCCGCAGCTGCGGGACAGGGGCACGCAGTCCCAGTTCCAATGCCAGCTGCAGCCAGGGGGTAGGGGGCACAGCCACAGCTCCTGCCCCTGTCACAGGGTGGGAGTGTAGAGTTCCACCTCTGGCCCTGGCTTCAGCCACTGACAGCTGAAGCCAAAGAAGTCACAGAGGTCTGGTAAAGTCATGGAATCCATGACTAAATCATAACCTTAACCACGTCTAACTAGGTGTTCAGCATCTAGTACGGGGTGGCCAAACTGTGGCTCGCAAGCCACATGTGGCTCTTTTATCATTAAAGCTTGCAAGCCCCCCATTCTCCACCTACCAGACTGGGGGGGTTGGGTGGGTGGAAGGAGGGAGCTCAGGATCTCTGCCTTGCAGTGGGGTGGTGAGGGTAGGGTCTTCTGTCCAGCGGGGAGGAGGGTCTCAGGGCTTTAGCCCTTCAGGGTGCACCAGCCAGGGCTCAGGGCTTTGGCAGGTGTGCCCTGACTCAAACTTCTCAAGATTGTCGTATGTGGCTTGGAGAGTCAGTAAGTTTGGCCACCTCTGATCTAGTACGGTGTGTTATGTCTCCACTATGGACACTATACTGGTATACCTATTCTGGTATAGCCCTATAGCGTAGGCTTGGCCTATACCTAAAATTTAAATCAACCTAGCTACATTGCTCAGGGGTGTTAAAAATTCATGCCCCCGAGTGACATAGTTAAGATGACCTACCCCCAGGTGTAGATGCACCTAAGTTGACAGAAGAATTCTTCAGTTAACCTAGCTACCACTTCTCAAAGAGGTGGTTTAGCTACAGTAATGGGGGGTGGAGGGGACACACCTTCCATTGCTGCATCTATGCTACTGGCACTGCAGCATCATTGTAGCATCTGCAGCGTAGACATAGCCATGGACACAGCATACACTGACAGATGGTTATATAGGAACACCATCTCCCTGGACGGAGTTAGCTATAGTGACAGAAGCCCTCTTCTATTGACGTAACCCCCAGTGTAGGTGCAGCTGTGTTAGCATAGCTACGTCAGTCAGGGGTGTGAGAAGACCACACCTTTCACCAGTGTAGGTATGCCGACATGAACTCCAGCGTAGACACAGCTGTATTGACAGAAGAGGGCTAGCTCTCTTCAGGCAGGTGGTGAGAAAAAACGCTGGTTACTGGAGGCTGTGTCTAAGCTACAGGGCTATGCAGACATAGTTATGCTGGTATAGTCTCAGTTGTGTAGACATACTGTAGGTAGGTGGATGCAGCTTGTTGGCCTAACTGGGCTAGACTGAGACATCAGAGCAAAGAGAAGAAAAAAGAAGCTGGCCAATTAAATATTTAAATGAAAAGTTTTAAAGGACAAGATGGAAATCAGCTACATTATTTGCGTTGCCACCAAAAAGTGTTCTAGCCTGTGTGTATGTATGCAACGTGTGCTGCTTGGCTCTTCAAAGCTTGAGAAATAGCAGCCTTTCAGTCCTTTCAAACATTTCAAAACCCTGTCAGCAAACAAACAGCTGGGGCTTCCCATAGCTAGCAGCATTACTGCCCTCGGGTTAATAGCTGGTTGATCCTCTCCAATGCTGGTGAGCAAACATCTGCAGCCTGTATCAGTGGTGCTGGTATTGGACCCAGCCCACATAGGTAACAACACATCATTTGATCCCATGTCGATCTTCTGCTGAGTCCACAGGACTGTTTTTAACTCTATTTTTTGACCTCTCCCCCCTTGCTCTCTGACCAGTTGGGTGGGTTGCCACTATGAACATTTTTTATACAACCTCAGAAAAGCTGCTGAGCGTGGCTGGTGGCTACAACATCCTGTTCTGTTAGTTTCTGGGTCTTTCTAACTGAATTACGCCTGCCCCGCTCTCTACGCATGCATGGAGACAGAGTAACTAGCTAAGATCAGTGTCTCTTCCCCTGCTTCTCTCCCCCTCCGCTAGAGAAACAAAGTCAAATGCTGCAGTGTAAAGTGTATGGGTTACAGGAGCACTGTGCAAACATTTCTGTTCCAGTTAAGAAGAACTGGATGAGAGTGCTTGTGTTACTGCTGGTTAGTTTAGATCACCTTTGGGTCATTTAAGGGTCACTTCTTCATTGTGAGTTTTAATAGTGTGAGCCAATAACTGCATCTACTTATCTTTACTCCAGTTGGAGTTCTACCTTTACCTATACTTGCTAGTCTCACTGAGTAAATTAGTTTAAAAACAAAAAAAACAAAAAACCGAATTTAGTGTATCATTTAGTATCATTGTATTATGAGTAAGGCACTTTGTTTTCTGTATTTATTGATATTTCTCCAAAAAAAATCCTGGGTTTTTAAAAAGCTGGTATTCAGGTTTTAGTGACTTTCAAACAGACCCCTCCCCCTCAAACTTTGTTTTTTGGGGGGACCTCTTTGTGGAGGAAGCAAATGGGACTGAAGCAGAGCAGAAGGCTGCACCCAGTGAGTACTAGCTCCTGGCCCTTCAAAGTGGCAGGAGAACCGGATGGCTCCATCCTGAAGGGCCAGGGTAGGAAGTGCTCTTTCCAGTGGGGATGGGTTCATACTCGTGGGGTGAACCCCTCCTGGCCCTTCAGTGTGGCTCTGTCCGCTTTCTTTGAGCAGCACGGAGTGAGAGGGACAGGGAGCAAGACCCCGGCAGCCGAGACCACCTGACCACTATGTTGTGAATGCCGAGCAGCCCTCTCCTCCACCCACTGCCCTTCTATTTTGGTCTTCACTTATTTTCACCTTTTTTATTTTTTTTTATTTTAGAATGAACTGACAAATTCCAAGGAAA